GTGCGCGCGCCCTGTAACCTTTGATCGTGCCGGGAGCAGAGGGTTGGGGGAGCCGGGGGCGGGGGAGCGTGGGAGGACTTCTCACCTGTTTAAAGAGAGAGTGCGCCTAGTAGCTCCCCCACCCCGTACCCCAAGTCCCGCCACTCCGAAAAGATGCCGAGGCCAAAGAGGCCCCGAGTAAACTTGCAACCGTGTTGTGCTGCTTTCTCGGGCGCAAAGGGGTTAGCTGTTGGGTTGTCTTGCCCCGGCTTCCATCGGGGTGGGGATTTCCTGCAAATTCTGGAAAAGTGCCTGCTCCTGGGGCTGCGCCGGGGCAGCGGGGTGGTCGCGCAGCTCGGCTCTGAGCTGGGTCCAGCCTGGCCAAAAGTCCCGCCTTTCGCCTAATCGTGCGTCCCAGATCCCTTCTCCGCTCTCGCACCCTCAAGCGGGAAGGAAGGGTTGCCGGGACCGGGGGCGGATTGGTGCCCAGCAGGTGGAGCGCCTGGAGGCGTCCCGGCCCGAGGGCTTAGCTCCGTGAGCAGCTGGGAGGGTTTAGTCTGGGACCAGGAATCTTTGCCAAAACCTAGTGGGCCGGACGGCCCGAGCGTGACCCATGCGAAGCTAGCACCCATGCTGGAGCTCTGGAGTTGGAGTTCTAGAAGCCTCGGATTACAGATTTTTTCTAAAGGGAGCTCAGAGAGTTGTCCCTCTAGGGGGACGCAGCAGGCGCCCCAAACCCTGTTTCCTTTGGAATGGAAAAGCCTCTTGCGTTCTCTTGTGCTGGACACACCTGCCAGAGGAAATACTGTTTATTTGTTTTCCCCTGGGAAAGAGAAATAAAGGAAAATGCTTAAACTACCAAGGAATCTCACTTGCGATGTTTTCTAATTTCTGAAACAAAACAAAACAATCAGACCAGCTTTTGTAACTAGTAGTGTCTTTTGACTTTTTTTTTTCCTATCTGGGTCACCTGGTTACTGATGAGGGCAAAAAAACAAATCCTCAACAGCCCTTGTTCGTTAAGAAGAGTTTTTGCGGAAGCCAGCTGGGTGGAGAGGGTTAAATTATAATAGCTAGCAACCTTCTTTTTTTTGCTGTGAACCCACCCGGGAAACTCTCTCACATTTCTAACCGGGTGCCTTTTTTCATCTGCATTTCTGCTGGGATCACTTAGTGCCTGAATGTGCCCCTATGCGGTCTCCAACATTTGAGGAGGCCCTCTGCCTAGCTGCCCTTTCCCCTACCCTGGCTCCTTTGCCTTCTGAGAGGGACCCTTGAGCTGTCCACAGGAAGTGATGGTCTCGGGAACCCTGAATCAAGCAGCAGAGGGGCTATTAGCTCCAGATTGCAAACTAATTTCTTAAATTTGCATATTAATCTTTCCAAGGTAGGGAAGATGATAACATTTGGTGTCTTCTTTCCAAATACTAGTTATTTTCAGAAGGTATTTGTATTAATAGCTTTGGACTTGGCTCTTGACTGGATGGTCTTCTTAGTTCTCTCTCTTGGAAGCTTCAAATCCTCCCACCCTCAAAGAAGATCAGTTAAGGGCTTTTTGCCAACTGAAGGAAACTTAATTTCCAGTTTGCATGTTTATGTTTGGGGTAACACATGTATCTGCCTCATCATTTTGCAGTAAATCAGACACAGTGATAAATGGATAAACTTGGGAATTATCTGGATTGCAGAGGCAAGTCTAACCCCAATTCCAGTGTTTGACTCACAAGAAAACTCATTTCAAGTTTCACTGGTATTATGCTACTAATATTTTTACTACATCTTTCACTGAGTAGTTTGGGAGTTTCCCACCTCCCTGGGATGCAGAATTCCCCATTCTCTTGAGAGACGGATGAACTGTGCTTAAAATACTCCTTGAATGAAAGAAATGGTGTGTGCAAAGCGAGGTTTGCTGGGCCCCATCTTTGATTCACTGGTGCGACTCTGACTAGAATCAGTAATCTCCTTTTACTTGTCAGAGATTGTATTGTTTTTTGGCTTTGCTTTGTTAAGGGTACGATGTCATCATTCTAGTGGTTTAAACAATAAGCTTAAATGGAAAAGCAAAGTTTACTTGGGTTTTCAGAACACATGGAAAAATTTTATTTATTTTTTTTATGGAAAACTTTTAAAGAAAAATTCTTACATGTGGCACTGAAAATGTGTAATTGAAATGCCTCACTGTGTCTGAATTCCCAATTCTGAGCTGTCCTTTTCCCAAAGAAATAAACTCCTTATCACTGTTTCCAGATTCTCAAAATGTTTTCTCTAATTTGTAACTGTTATAAAGATGGAGGAAAAATTGTTTTCCTGTGTTCCCCAGACAAATACCCTATCATTTTTAGGCTCTGGGCCAATTTTCCATTGTCTTGTAGGGTGTCTAGAGCTAAAGGTGATTGGAATATCATCTCATTTCTAATGCAGAAACCCTTTCAGACTTCCTTCTCAGTCCCTTCCCAGTCGTTCTGCTAAATAGCCATAGCTTTCTAAGCACACGTGACGGGTATCGAAGTATGTGAGGGTCCTTTTCCAAAGAGATGGAGCTTTTGTGAGAGTTGCTATAAAAAGTGATGGTAAAGTTGTGTCTTGTATGTGAGTCCCTTTGGTGTTGTATAAGCAGGAAGACCCTTCCAAGTGTCCAGCATGGGGTGCCGAGCCCTACAGGGTGCCTTGAAGAGGCTTCCGTACTTGGGTGTTTACATATTTATGACTCTCCTAAGAGCATCTTGTGTCACTGTGCATGAGTCCATTGGCTGAACTCACTCCATGTGGTCAAGGATTCTGATTCCTACTGCTCTCCCAGCTGGCGAGTTCGTCCAGGGCCAAATGTAACTGACCTACTATCTGAGGACTGCACTTGGACCATCCGTCCCGAGGCTTACCAAGATTGCATCACACTTGGATCGAGACAGGCCTGTTTGAGATGTCCAGACTTACATGCACATCACAGTAATTGGTTCGAAGTATAATCATCCTTTTCCTGTGCTTTTTTTTTTTTTTTTTTTTTTTTTTTTTTTCCATTTCTGAGTCTGACCACTCTGACCACCTAATTCCCCACTTAGCTCTAGGGCATGGCAGGTAGACATGATCTGTGAAGACTTCAGGTCAATAAACTACCTGAAAGTTCGAAAAGGAACTTTGAGATCTGTGGTTAGGGAAGGTCTGAGACAAAAACTAATTGAAAGAGATGGGCAGATTGACAATATTCATTCAGCCTTCAGGAATCATCTCTCTTTGTCATTTTTTCATGCCTAAGTAGTTTGTCTCTGTTAAAGTTCTAACTGAGTAGGACCAGCAGATGGTGTAATGATTCATCATTGGATTCCCACATGACCGACCATAGTTTGAGTCCTGGCTCTGGAGACTTAAAACTCAAGCCAGGAGCGCATGCATGCATGCCTAAAATCCCAAGAGGAGAGTGGAGGAGGAGTTGCAACTTGACCATCCATCCTAGGCAGGGAGTGATTTCTGTCTTTCTGTCTCTGTCTCCCCATGAGCACATGTGCCCTATACCAAAAATCTCTCTCTTAAAAAAAAAAAAAATCTACCTAACCTTAGCTGCACATCCATCCAGCGAGCTTTAAAAAATATAAATGTAGGGACCAGCAGGTGGCATAATGGCTATGTTGCTGGACTCCTATGTAGTCGATCACGGTTTGAGTCCCGGAGCTGGTGGCTTAAACTCCTGCTGGGCGCGTGTGCGTGCATGCCCAAGATCCCGAGAAGAAAATGGAGGAGAAGGGATTGGGCATGTCCATCCCCCCTGGGGGGTGATTTCTCGCTTTCTGTCTCTCTGTCTCTCTTTCTGGCGAGCGCACACGCCCCATAACAAAAGCCTCCCCCCCAAAGAAAACTACATAAATGTAAAGGCCCCTCCCAACACATTCTGATTTAACTGGTCTAGGGATGTGACTTGGGTATTGCTTTTTTAAAAGGTCTCCAGGGACCAGCAGTTAGTGTAATGGCTATATCACTGGACTCCCACGTGGTTGAACGTGGTTCGCGTCCCGGACCCGGTGGCTTAAAACTCATGCTGGGCAC